GAAGACAGCATGACATTAGTAATCAGTTTTGCCACTGAAAACACAGCAGACATCTTAAGCCTGGAAATCCCAAAGAGACCTATGGGGGTTGGTAGCTCATTCTGTAAAATTAAAAGTTTAAGGATGGCTTCTTTTTCAGGACTGACGTGTAAGCTCAAAATGCTACTGACCATATAAATCTTTTCATTGGTATGGGTATAGAAAAGGCTTTTTCTCTTAAAAACCAAGTTCTCCATTATCAGTTGAGCTTTGTCATGGAATTCTGGCCATGGAAGTCATGAACAATAAAAACATTGCTGTAGATGCAGCATGTAGCTTGCTGCTGGTTATCCTAAAGCAGCAAATGGTCTTTTCATGTTGTGTATCATCAGCATACCAGAGACCTATACAGTTTAAAATTCAAACCTATAAGGCAAATAAATATATTGCAGTACTAAAGAAAAGGAATCCTGATTGGTGAATAAAGACAATCACGCTAAACTGCAAGAACCTAGTATGTTCTGTTTATTGATAGAAATACCAACATAGAATATTTACTATCAGACTAGTTTAATACAACCAATACAGACTCACTAACATGAGGATTTTGGATGACCAAAGAATCAAGAAAGAATATAAGACAGTCACCACCTCCCTTGAGGAGGACAGTTCTCAGTTCTCTGCAGATGTGTAAAGGGAACTGACAGACACCTTCAGGAGCTTTGGAATTAAGGCAAATTCAGTGTTGCTAGGACAAAGTCCTTGCAACACCAGAGTGCAAAGCCATTAAAGAAAGAGAGGCCAAGGAGAAGCCTGTCTTAATCAGCTGCATCCATAGATGTGGAATTACCCCATGATTTAAACATTTTGTTCAAACTGAGGCACTGAAAATCGTTCCCTGTGTTCTTATCCAGGCACACCAGCTTGTTTATGGAATGAAAGCTAAATGCATCTGAAATACACACTTCATCTGTTCATTTGTTTTGTACACTTTTTTCTACTTCTGGATCAAAGTGCTAGAAATTAAGCTGGAAGTGCAGCATTTCATTCCCCATTTCTCAGCTTTTTTTTTTTTCCATATTTGAACCATGCATTAAGACTAGAAACTTCATCAAAATATACCACAGCTATCCTCCAGCCACATGCCTATACTTTCTCTCTGTGGATAGCTTGATCCTTTTTTAGACTACCTACTTTCAACAGAGGCTTCAGGCTTCCAAGACAGAAAGCACTAAAGCCTCTCCTTATTCAGAGCAAGCAAACAAATGCAGTTGACATATTTCTCCTAGACACAGTTCACAAAGCCAGTGCATGCACAGCTAACATACTTTGGAACAAACAAAAACACAGTTAGTGATAAGATACAAACTCAAAAATATGCCTCATGGCAATACAAAACCCTAAAGGGAAGAACCAGAAGTCTCCAAAGATGGTTCAAAAAGCAGTAAAGGTCCCTGAGCTGCAAATAGTCGGGGACTAGAAGCATACCCAGGGGAAGTATCATTTCCTTTTCCTATTTTTATAATCTTTCCTCTTGGCCACTATCAGAGACATGATGCAGGTTAGGGAGACCTTTGATGTGATACAGGAGGCTGCTCTTACATTTTTATGATTGATGTGAGAAACAGTAGCAGCTAAAAAGGAGGGAAGAGACTGCAAACTAGTTGCTATGATTCAAATCAGCAGTTAAAAGGAACTGAAGGTCACTCAATTGCAACAAGAGACAGATCCTCATGGAATAGTCCTGTTTATATTGTTTATTCAAGCATGTTCTGGTCTCCAAGATGGGAGCATATAAAGTCCCAAGATGTCAACACATACATGGAGAAACACCAGTGAACCTGTATTCTTTTCCTTAAAAAAAGTTACCTCCAAATAAATAGTTTTCAGTTGCGAACCTTAAAAAGTAGGTAATTACTTCAGAAAATGGACTCATAGAATCACAGAATACTTGAGGTTGGAAAGGACTTTCAAATGTCACCTAGTCCTACCCCCTGCAATAAGCTGGGACATCATGCACAGTTCCATATGGTTCAACACTGAAGGGTTAAACTGGCATATTACTGGCTTTTGTCTCCAGCCAAGAAATACAATAAAAACAGGTAAGCTCACTCCAAAATACACTAAAAATAAAAAAAGAAGGGGTGATGGGCACAAGTTACTCCTGGGGAGATTGTGACTGGACATAAAAAGGAATTTTTTCATGAGAATAACCAGTCACAGGAATAATCTCCCAAGGGAAGTGGAGGATTCCTCAGTGTTGGACATTTTTAAGATTCGGCTGGACAAAGTGCTGGGACATTTAGTCTAGTCCATGCTTTGCCCAGAAAGGTTGGACCAGATGACTCTTGAGGCCCCTTCCAAACTGGTATTCAATGATTCTATGATAAATATTAACATGAGCCTTTAAGATCCCAGAAGTCTCAGCTGTGCAGAGTAGAGGAAAAAAAAAAAACAAAACACAAACCCAAAACAACCAAAACACAACAACAAAAAAAAACAAAACAAAACCCAAACCCAAAAAAACAACCACAAACCCCCAAAAAACACCCCCAAAACCCACCCCCCAAAACCACAAAACACCAAAAACTTTGAAGATACAACTGCTACACCCTCTTCATTTTTATATTTAGTCCACGGAGTATTTTTCACAAGTTATTGTATTCAGAACATGAAAAATAGGCAGCACATGAGGAAAAGAGCCTTCTTCCTTCTTTCCAATTGGTATTTCAACCTTCTCTTGTGAGAGATTTCATCACTCAGCCTGAAAGTGTCTGGCTACAGATATTAGTTGTACAGACATCTGCTCTTCCTGGTGTATTTCAAGGTACACCCAAAAAAGACATTTTCTTTTTCAAGATTTGTATGCTATTTAATAGCAAACAAAATGTCCTACAAAACAGGATAAAAATGGACCCTATGAGAATGTAACACTTTCTTTAAAGTCTAGAACATACCCAAGTGAAAAAACAAACACCCACCCTCCACCAAACCATACAGTGAAAACACATGTTTTACAGAAGACTCTACCTATGGAACAGCGCTACAGACTCTGCGAAGAGGTCTACAGAAGGTGTACTAAAGCCTAAATATTTGGCACTAGGGGTTGACTAACAAGAAGTATTCCCAACAGCTGTTATGCCCTGCTTCATTAGTGCAGTCAGAACTAACCAGACATTCACCTGGCAACAGTTCAAGGCTGGTGAACACCTTCCAAACATCCTTCTAGTTCAATTCATAACAAGGTGGGGGTTGTGGGGGAAACAACAAAAGAAGACTTTGACAGTACAAGCAAATGTTAGAAAAAGCCAATGTTCTTTCCCAGGTTTTATAGAGAATAGATTAGCAGCTAAAAAGCACGTATTTGAAAAGCAAATGCGGTGTTGATACTTGTAGTCTCTGGGAATGGGTAAAGGCCCTACATCATTACTATACAAATCATTCATGATATGGTTTACACCCATCCCATAGCCAAAGTAGAAGATGCATTATACTTTACTGCTTTGTATATTCTTGGTTTCAAAAATTCCTATTCTAGAAACAATCACCTGTGTTTTAATGAGGCAACCTACACTGTCTACAATCAACAGAAATTCAGTGCTCCAAATAACCTACTACACATCATCTGTCAGAACACTATTCACCTCCGATGCTATATTACTACATTCCTTTCATATATATATTTAAAAAAATCAAACCAAACAACCTAGTCTCTTTCTCACTTCCATTACGGCTATTTATCTTCAATCCAGAACAGCATAAGTTGTTATCCCCAGCCAAAGGTAAGGAACCAAAAGTTCATCATTAAGGAACCATAAGTACATCGTATTTAAAATGCTGTAATTTAGTTACATTACAGAAAGTATGTACTGTTGATGTGAGCAGCTTTCTAGGTACGTAATTTGATATGCCTTACATCAACTGTCGCTTCTAGAGACATCTTGCACATTTAAAATTAACCATTTCTATACACGGGATAGCTTCCTTGTTTAATATTTAAAAAATGGTTTCCAGGTCCATTATGTGAAACCAAAAAGTCAAAACTAGTTGGAGCAAAACTACATCTTTATTAATAAAGGAAATGTGCAAGACCAACCTTAAAAATGCAACCACAGAACTAACCTTAATTTTATTTAGAATTGTAATTGAAATATCTAGCAGACACAGCTGAATAACTATGGATCTTTTTTGTAATTTCCTTGTTCCTCATCCCATCGGGCTAAAATTAGAAAGCCTCAGCCCACTCTAGAACTCCCTATATGCATATATATATTTATAAAGAAGTACAGAGAGGACAACAAGCATCACCTATCACACAATGAAAAAGCTGAAAGCAGACAAAAATGGAGGACGAAAAATCATTATTTCAGCATCTCAGTTAACTCTAAAAATCCCATCCTCCCAAAATTCACATGCAATATATGTGATTCGTCACACACCCAAGTGGATGGTGTTTTTAGAAATGTTTGCAGTAACATGCATTATTTTCTACCAGGAGTGTCACACATCTGGTTTGCTTGAAGTAAGTCTGATGAGTTATTGGTTTCTAGAACAGTCAGCAATATTAAGAGCAAAATTTACAAAAATTTATGTGTTTACACATCCTTTTTTCCAGCTGTGCAGAAGCTCACCATTAGACTGGTAACATTTTCTAAAGGTTACAACACATACACAGAAAACACAAAAAGCAGATTTTCAACTCTCACTTAACCCAGAGTATTGTATGTTCTTGACTTGGTCCAGAGCTCCCTTAAAGTGAATCTTTTCACAGATCAAGTGGAGTTTAGTACTGGCCCTCAGCATCACCATCCCCTTCCTACCAGTGAACACACAGTGACCATGCCAATCAGATTTAAAGAGTGTATCCCACTCGAGACTCTTGAGTAAAGAAATAGGAATTAGAACTACTTACCTGAAAGGCCTGTATACAAAAATCCTAGTCAGCAAAAAAATAGCATGTTAACCATTACAATTTAAAAACAATCTATAGTCATCTTCATAAAACTCAGGAAACTTCATACTTCTCTTCTTGATGCTGGTCCTCTTGGTCACTTAGCTCATCGTCATCTACCATATGCCCAAATGGTTCAGAAGAAATTGATACCATATTAGACAGGATAACTCTGCTATCACTGCTTCCTGTAAGGATCAGCTGATCATGAGAATGATTGTATCTGACATTCCAGACCCTACAAAATAAAATCAGAAAGAACAAGAGGCTATTCTTGGCAGTTAGTGCATCTACATTAAATGATTTTTTAAATTTTTTTATTTTTTAACAGCACTAAAAATTTATCTTTGACTTAAACATTTTAAGTACCCTTAGAAGTGACGTGCCTTATTCCAAAGACTGGTTTTGCTATCTTCATTTCGCTTTTAAAGTTTCCACATCATGTTTTCTATGAGGTGTCTTTAATTCAACAAATAAGTTTTGGGACAAAACCCCCAAACATCAAAGAACAAAACACACTATTCAGTGGTATCATTCCTTGAGGGTAGATGCCAATTCATTGTTTAGTATGACAGATAAATATTTAAGTTCTAAATATAAAAACTTCCTCAAAGCAAAATATGGATTAGAAATAACCTGTTAAACAAAAATCTCACAGCATTCTTAAAGTTTAAAATAGGCCCTAAAACAAAAGTAGGATTATATTTCTCTACAATTTTCATATTTTACATATCAAGTTAATACCAAATGTCTTATGGTTCTTGTTCTATTCTTTTTCCTTTAATCTTCTGGGAAAAAAAAGTATAAATGCTGCTTTTGTTAATTCACATCTTCATTCCCCTCAAACTAGCTCCAGGGTCCAGATTTATTTTGCAAGAATTACTCCAACCGAAATTCTATAAAATATGAACTGCTCATCTTTTCTTAACCACTGAAGTCTGTAAACGTCAGACAAGATTCTATCCCTACTCCAGCCACAGGCCAGAGCAGTAGATACAGGCTCCAAGTATTATCTCAGAGAATAAAATAACTCCCTTGCATATTCTGGCTTAAGGGCTGTGAAAAGCATGAAAAACGTGGGGCTGAATATTATTGAGCATTTCAACCATTCAACAGCAGAAGGATAGACGGCAGCTGCTTTTCTGCACATCAGGTGCAGCAGATCAGGCTCGATTTGGGAAGACACACCTGTGTCCCAGCTGGCCCCTACAAGCAAAGTTTTGTTCTGTGCTTCTCAAAGGAGTACCCTATCTCTCAACAGTGCTAACAACAGTTTCTTGCCAATTAGACTAATATCATCTAAACTCCTAATTTACAATCACACAAGGAACATTCACATGCTGAAACCTTTCCTCTGTGCAGAAAAATGACTATTCACAATAGCACAAACATAGTTAGCTTGCATTGCTCCTAGACAGTAAAATAATTAGCTGAATAAATTACATAAAGCCATCCACCCGCAAAACAGCATGCAGATAATTCGTTCTACCAGTGGGAATGCTCCTCTAGTGTCTTCACTGGTTCAGTGACATTTCTCGTGTCCCAGAATTTCACCTTGCAGTCATCTCCGCAGCTAGCCAGGTAGTACTGTTTATTGGGATTAAAGTCTAGGTCTCGTACCAGCTGTCCGTGTGCATTTTCTATGCAATATATCTGTCTGTAAAACACATTAAAAAAATTAAATGGTCTATAAAAAGCTAACTGCACTCCACTGACAGGAATCTGTTTCCCTGGAAACTTGCATAATCCCCTCAGCACCCGCAGACCTAGAGTTCCCATTGCTAGCGCATAGTTTAGGGAAATCCCAGCTGTTAACAACAGTGACTTGTATAGATTTCTCAGCTTGCTTCAAAGCTTTGCTCTTTTCTTGTTTGCATTAGGATCATCTGGAGCTAAAAGGAAACAGTAGTTCCAGATGATTCTAGCACATTTCTCTAACAACTGTTATGAAATGTCTGCTATTAAACCACAATATTTTCAGATAACAGCTTCTCCACCCCTAAATAGTTTTACTAATTCTGTACTTATGACATCTACTTCTCCCTATATGAAAAAACAAGATGCAAGGGATGCAACAGATATGAACAATAGCTTTTTATTATTGGTCAATTTTGTACTTACTTTCTTGAGCTCTGGCATTCATCATTAATTTACCTATGGCCCTTAAACTCAGCCATGCACACACTCATCCAATCAGACTACTTCAGAAAACATTTATAGTACTGATAACAACCTAGCACCCTTATTCGAAACACCATGTTCCACCAGTTTGTGTCCCTACCCAGTCTCTTAAACTCAGTTTGTAGGTTTTTATTTTTGTTTCCACTATTGTATTACCAGTTTTCTCAAAGTCACCATCTACCGAAGTTCTGCTATGGTGGTCACTCAGGACAGAAGATACTACTTAGATATCCCATGTCAACACTCAGAGCTTGAGAGGTTAAGGATATAACACAGGTATGCCTTTCTGCCAGGTATTCCGAGACCTGTATTCAACATTTCCTCTTAATTTCTTGAAACATCTTTAAAAGAATTTTTTTTAAATCTCAAGCATGCTTCCAACAATAAAACACTTCTTTCCTCCTTTATTGCAACTTTCACTTCTTTCTTGCATTGCTCATGGGGATGTGTGCAAGGGCTTAAAAAGAAATACCGCTGTCCACCATATATTAAGTAGTGCTTACCATGAAGGCCTTTATCCCAACTTAACTTCTGGCCGCTTGTTCTTTTACCTTCCCAAATATGAATCCTCTTTTCTTTCACTCTATCATCTTACCTACAGCAATAATACCTACACTGAATTTCTCTCTTACATAATAAGATTAAGGCCAGACCACACAAACATTTTCTCCAGCTTCTGGTTCCTCTGTTTCATATTCTTCTTCCATTTTTTTAGAATCTATTCTCGGAATCTGAATTTTCCCAATACAATTCTCCCTCTAAATCCATTCAGTCTAGTGTCTGTCTCCTCTGTTTCACAAGCCCTATTCTGATTAAGACTGTTTCCCTAGTCTAATCTCGAAGTCTTCCTAACAACCTCTTTTTTTCCTCCCCTTCTTTGTTTGCTATATCCAAAATAATTTACTCCCTCTACCTTACAGCTATCATAATCACATACTGTGGAAGTAGGTATTCCAGCTACTTCTTTAGTATCTCTCTTGTTCTTTGCTGGTATAGCAGTTTTCTGTCCTTGATTTCTCCCTCCCCTCAATTTTTTGCATCTTGCACTGCCACAGTTTATAATTCTAATGTAACTAGTCATTACCCAATATTCACATTATTCTAGACACATTACAGTGTAAGTGCAGAAGAGACTTTTGCACATATTTTTCAAGTTACTCAGAGTGTTCACTTAATGCAAGATAAAGATGCTTTTTCTAATGAGAGAAATCATGAAGCAGACTTCATGATAGTTAACATTTTCCACTTAGAAACATAGGCTTTAATCTTAAGGTCCTATGAGTTAAAAACAGAATGATTACAGAAACATCACAAAAAAGCAACTTAAAAAAACCCAACCCTTTCTCCTTTGACCTTTCTTTCCTTTATTGTACGCTTCATTTAAAAGCACCTTCATGAATGAAAGTATACACATACATATGAAGTTAGATTTTTATATATCCTTTACAAGGCAAAGAACAGGACTTTCAAACCTGATGACAAGCCTACAGAAACTGACTTTTAATTATTACATTTGTATTTTTAGATTTTGTTTTTTAAATTAAATAAATCTTTTTGGCAAAAACAAGGCTGGCAAGCATGGGGATTTATTGCTACACCCCTAAGCTGGCAGGAACCACAGAATTAAATTTAAAGTCATCCCCCTTTAAGGCAACAAAAGTTATTACAAGACATCAGCCTTCTTGGTTTAGTGATAAATTACTATGTGCTAAGGGGATAAAGCGTATCTTAAAAAAGCTTGCACAGGCTTTAGTAGTCATGGCAACAGATGTGCACAACATCACTCCTTTGCTTATCAAAATCACAAGTGAGCAGGGGGGAAAACACCTTATTAGGTATATTCAAAGCTTTGATTTAGTCATGATTTTGATAGATTCAGTAGTTTCATATGACTAGCATGCTACGATCTTTAATATAGCATAGTATGCTGTTTGTTAAAATAAGAAAGTTGAAGAGTGAACTTAACCTATGAATTACTTTCAGAAATTAAAGTTATCTTTAAATAATATGCTACCAAGACAGTTGATAGCATAGTCAGAACTGCTGTTAAATCATTTTCAGATTGAATCACAGAACAGCTTCATTCAGGTAATGCCTATGTATTGAAAAAATTATCCTGAGACTACTGCATACTTCATTAAAACTCAACACACAACTTAGAATTGAAGCTGAAACGGGGAAACAGAGAAAACCCTTTACTAAATATATCAGCTATGCAAGCCCAACCATTCATTTTAAAAGTGCTAGCTTTGCCATATTACTAATACTAAGAAAAAAAAAAAAGTTAGGAGCAACGAAAAACCTGTCTCCAAAGGAGATTGTCTTTCTTAAAGAACGAGACTGTGATTTCTCATTACCTCATGCTTCGTGTATCCCATCCTCGAACAGTGGTATCATTGGCTGTTGCAATCTGTGTGCAATTGTGGTGTGGACTCCATCTTCCAGAAGTAAATTTTAATTGTCCTTTCCCTTCCAAGGCTGCAGAACTAGAGAGCTAAAATAATGAAACAAAGCTGGCGATGTTTCTAAATGTAATGCTAAAATGAAATTAGTTCCACTGAAGACAAAAAGTGCACAACAGCCTATTGTTCCAAGTCTAACAGACTACCAAAATCCTAGGATAAAAAAAACCAGAACAAATGAAAAGCTAGAGCTAATTTTGTATCTCACTACGTAATTTTTACAAAGGCTTATCCAGTGTAATGTATTCAAAAATATTAGAAGTACTGTACTACTTTAAAAACTAAACCAAACAGTTTCAGATCATTTGTTGAAACAGGACATAGACAATATGGGCACACTGCACAAATTTGTGCTGACAGAGGGGAGGATTTAGACATTACAAAAAAAAAAAAAAAAAAAAAAAAAGTTCAATATCATGAGAGTAGGTTGCCCAGAGAAGTAGTGGATGCCCCATCCCTGGAAATGTTTAAGGGCTGGTTGCATGAGGCTTTAAGCAACCTGGTCTAGTGGAAGGTGTCCCTGCCCATGTCAGGGGAATTGAAACTAGATGATCTTTAAGGTCCCTACCAACTCAAACCATCCTATGATTACGTGACTCTGAATTCATCCAGTTCAATTCCTCCAGTTGAGGCAACCATGTAGACCTTTCATACCTGTTCTTGTCTCCTGAACCATCTTACATTTTCAAATAGCCTCATCGTACTGGCAGCTCAGAGTCATTCTCAGAATCCACATACTTTTAAATGCTGAGTCTCTACATCACAGCAAGAAAATATTTTTATTCTTTAAATACAAGTTTTCTGCTTTATACTACAAAAATTAATCACCAAGTTCATCCACTGAAATCTATTGTTGGTCCTGTATACTGATGGTGCGTTCCAAGTTTCCATCATCAACAATTTTCATCATTTCACTCCTAATTCTATACTATCATGAAGGAGACCATTAAACAAAATTAATCCCAATGCTAACTCTTTAAGAACTGGTTTTCTATCCTCTTTTTGATCTAGTAGCTTCTCTTTCACATTTCTTCAGACTTTTTTTGCCCTCCTTTCATTGATCTATGTTTATTCTAGTTGCAATAATTATGGGGTACTCCATGAAGTTCTGCACTAAACTCCACAATATATTTTCTGCCTTGAGGAACAGAAGCCATCTTGTCAAAGAAGCATCTCATGCTTACTCCTAATATCCTCCTATATTTGGATAAATTACTTTTATCCAGATAGTCTGTGAAATCTTCCCCATGAGATCTTCCATATTGCCTGGAATGCCACTGCCAGATATTTCTTGTTGTCATAGAATACAATCTTAAAATCATAGAATAGTGAGGGTTGGAAAGGACCTTAAGATCATCTAGTTCCAATCCCCCTGCCATGGGCAGGGACACCTCGCACTGAACCATGTCACCCAAGGCTCTGTCCAACCTGGCCTTGAACACCGCCAGGGATGGAGCATTCACAACTTCCTTGGGCAACCCATTCCAGTGCCTCACCACCCTCACTGTAAAGAACTTCTTCCTTATATGTAACCTAAAGTTCCCCTGTTTAAGTTTAAAGCCATTACCCCTTGTCCTACCACTACAGTCCCTAATGCTGAGTCCCTCTCCAGCATCTTTGTAGGCCCCCTTCAGATACTGAATTAAGATCACCTGTAGATTAAATACTACTAAAGAATACAGAAGGGACAAGAAATCTAAAAGGAATCTAATTAATCTTTTGGATAAAAGTTATCAAATCCACACCTCTGCTCCTCCCCTTTGTGACAATGTAAGGCAAGGATTAAAAAAAACTATATTTTAACATCTCCGTTTCATTCTGTAACACTCATCTGCCATTCCAAACACACCGCATTTACCCAAGGAGGAGTTCTAGTGATTTGGTGACATCTGACCTAAGTCTGCATACAGAAATATTAACTGTCATCTCTTCAGCAAAATATACCCAGACCTTGTGGGTTGGTTGGGCTTCTCTTGGGTTCAGCTAATGATTATAAATGACAAAGAATAGCTAATTTAATTGCAAAAGGTAATGATGCAGTGCACATAAGATTAGTTTCACCCCAGAACGTAAAGGTAGTGATCAAAAGGACAGGAGAAGCTTGTCTTAATGCAAATACAGGCAAATATTCCTGTATTAAATACTGTAATGAAGAAACAGCTTAGCAAAAAACACTGGTGGGGGGGAAGGAAGAGAACAAAACCCAGCCAACCCACAAAACCGTAACTTATGGTTCATAAATATTTCCTATGACAGGCTGACCAGATAATTCAGAGAATGAACACACCAGTAATTTTATTATAAAAAAGCTCTGAAAATATCAGGAATCCTAAAATTCTTCATGCAAATTCTAATTAGACATGCATCTTGTAACTCCCAGGCAGACAGAAGAGATGCACCTAGTAAAAGACTCTGCAGTTTTGATCAGTGTAGGCAAGCAGAAATTTTGGCCTATGCAAAATTTTAAGGCAAACATCAGATTAATTTTTCACCAGTACTACACCGGGATTATAGATGAACTTTTTCACAAATTTAAAAAGTCCATAAAGAGGGTTTACCTCTTGCCATTGAAATTAATATTGGCTATGATACATACCTATCCAAAAAGTAAGCACTTGAAATGTGTTCATGAAAAAAGAGCAGTGCTGCACCAGTGTAATGAATACTTCCTTACTCCTATTACTTGATACAGATACAGCAGACCAGATCCTACTATTAATGATAATGATGTCATTCACCTTGAACACTGTCACGTTTTTGATAAAAAGGGAAAAAAACTCAAGCACGCTAATATTTTCATTATTTTAATCCTAGGCTATTGATTTATTCAGTTAAAATAATGTAGACACACACAGAGATACTGTTGTGGTTTAAACCCAGCTGGTAACTCGGAACCACACAGCTGCTCGCTCACTACCCCCTCTTCTTCCTCCCCGCACTCCCGGAGGGACGGAGAGGAGAATCAGAAGAATGTAACTCCCATGGGTTGAGATAACAGCACTCCGGTAACTAAGGTATAATACAAACCACTACTGCTACCAATAATAACAATAATGATAAGGGAAATAACAAGGGGAGAGGATACAATTGCTCAGCACCCACCGACTGATACCCAGCCTGACCCGAGCAGCGATCTGGGCCTTCCGGGTGACTCCCCCCCAGTTTATATACTGGGCATGACGTGCTGTGGTATGGAATAGCCCTTTGGCCAGTTTGGGTCAGGTGTCCTGCCTCTGCTTCCTCCTGGCTTCCCCTCCTCCCTGGCAGAGCATGAGACTGAGAAAGTCCTTGGTCAGAGTAAACATTACTGAGCAACAACTAAAAACATCGGTGTTATCAGCATTGTTCCCAGGCTGAAAGTCAAAACCACAGCACTGCACCAGCTACTAAGAAAGAGAAAAAATGACTGCTGTAGCTGAACCCAGGACAGGTACATGGCTGTTTCACTAACAAGTCTATAATGACATGAATATTTTGTAAAGACTTTCTTCCCCTCAACAGTCCCTCCAGAATATGTAAGTTTATTAGCTACTTGGTGCTTTGTCACCATCTGCTAGAATCAAACAGCACATTAGGTGGTAAGACATCATGTGGCCAAGACATGTCAAAAATGGACAACCCTTTATCCTAATGAACAATAAACACAAGGTTTCTTATTTAAATAATCTCCTTCTGTATCTGCATAGAAAAAGCAAAAAGTGGACTTCCTGGCAAGAATTTCTATATAGCACCAACTGACACCTATAATCATATATAGACTCATAGAATGGTTTGAGTTGGAAAGGACCTCAAGATCACCTAGTTCCAACCCCCTGCCATGGGCAGGGAACACTGCCAGAGATGGAGCATTTCCTGCTTCTTTGGGCAACGTGTTCCATTGCCTCACCACCCTCACTGTAAAGAACTTCTAATGGTTTCTATGGACTCTTCTGAAAACCTCTTTTTTCTTTTTTTCTTTTTTTTTTTTTTTTAAATATATGCCCCCTTTTTAATGCTGGTGAGAGTTGATTTTTTTCCTGTAGGCTGTTCTGTACTTGTTTTCAAGGGCAAAAAAATTCTTTTTATTAATATCGCAGAGAAGCGTGCTTTTACACTGACCAAAAAGGCATTAAAATAAAGATCATGTGCTTTTTAGGGTTATGACATATTTTGCACCCAACAATCCCGAATAAACAGAACATACACAGAAAGAAATCACTATTGCACCAACAGGTGACTGGCCTACAAACACTTCTTGTACATGGTCATAGCCAACTGCAAAGTATCTTTATTGCTTATGCCTACCCCAGCGCTGTCTTCTAACCAATCTGGTCTCAGAGATTTCTCTCTGACATTCTAAACACAATAGCAGCAAAGGACGAGGTACAGGGTTAATTTTATTTTGCTTGGTTGGTTTTGTTGTTGCTGGTTTGTGTTGCTGGTTTGTTTGGTGGTGGTGGTGGTTTTGGGGGGGGTGGGAGGGGAGCATGTGGGTTTTTTTAAACAGAAAGCCATCTCAGGAATGAAACATTTTGTATTTTTCCTCATCACTCCCTGTAACTGTCAGTTCTAAATAATTTTTTTCAAACATAAATTGCTTCACAGTGACAGTTATTGTTTTTCAGCCTTCTACAGAGTCTAACAAGGAGGTAGTTTCTTAGGAACAAAGTAACTTTCAAAGATTTCAGAAATACACAGCAGTTGGTTCTAGGCCTAAAAAAGCCTATGATACTGGACTTAGTTGTCATCATTTTAACTAGTGGAAAGTTTATGGTAGGCATTTTAAAGAGATGCTCATGTTTTCCTCAGTCTTGTTCAACTGGACACTGGTTAACTCAGGAACCAACAGACATGTTTGAGACAAATTTTTCACGGACAAATATTCACCAGGAATGTAACAACACCAGTCGTACTAGAAGAGATTCACCTGGCTTAAGATCTAGATACCTGGAGATTTTCCTCTTGACTCAACTTCCAAGAGTCAAGTTTCTACAGACTTTTACTATTAAACTTCACTTTAAAAGCGGTCACACACTCAGTGATAAAGCAAATATTAAAGAGTAACTCAAAATTGCTGGAGTAGAAAAGTGATAATGGTAAACAGTTATTTACAGGTAAATTTTAATCACAAGCAATTCTAATTTATAGCGCACTCACATGAAATACTAGATTATTTTCAACAGAAATATAAAGAATCAGTCACATTCTGAATCAGGTTTCCCAAGAGCCCAACTGCAAAATCTAAATGACACTCCTAACTTCTGCAAACTAAGGTTTTATCAAACATTTCAAAATGATCCTACCTGAAGATGTCAGTCAAGGGTTGACAGATCTACTTTCATAGTTTTAGCTTCATTAGACAAAACAGATTTTTGATGCAGAATCTCACTTTTTTTTTCTTGTTTCTTTTTATCAAATATAAGCATATAACAAATGTTACAGCTTAAATCCCCTTAGCTCCTTTATCATTTACTTTGCCTTCTGGATTCCTTATTTTGCCATCAGTATTTGATGCAGTACAGGCATACTTTAAAAGTAAGAGAATAAAAGATATTCTAGATAAGGAACACTAATTGAAATACTGAGGGGATCAGCAAACTGAATATTTCTCTGAGGAAAGAAATATTGATTTCCAAATTCATGCAGAGGTTAAACTGCTGAAGAGTCTAGTCCTCTCCAAAATTATGTAGATCCCAGTTCTAGCAATAGAAGGAAAAGAAATAATTCACAGATATTTGTGTGACAGAGTGATGAGGTTAATTTTGAGGAAAGGAATAATAAAAGGAAGATGTAACATGCAAACTTTTAGTAAATTAATCTCAAGCAAAATAAAATGAGAAAAAAAAATTGGTATTCATGACAAGACTCCCACACATACTTATAGAGAGACTGGTAACACACTCACTAAACAGCATCCTAAAGGAGATCATATTTTGGAGAGATTAGGATTATGAAGAAATTTGAGACAGTTATGAGAAAGTGTTTGTAACAGTGAAAAAAACTAACTAACATTCAAAAGAACTTTAACAAGTGACAACAGAGCTGTCTGAAAATAGAAAGGAGGAGAAAGGGAAAATGTTGAGTAGCCTAGCGGTCCCAGCACTTGAAAAAGACATTAAGAGATAAAGCATGGGAGCAGCACCACCCACAAAAGCAGTTTTTCAACAGTTTAAAGAAGGCATTGCAAAAAAAAAGTCTGTGTGTTATACAGGCATTAGGAAAGGAATACTGACATATTTAGGAGTAATACAAATCCACTGGATACGACGCCACAGACAAGTTCATGGAGGCCAGCCTTCAGAAACTCCAATTTTTCAACAACAATATTTTAGATATTTCAACAACAACAAACAGTACTTGGAGGAAGCCTTGGCAGGTAACATAACAGTGACTGAAGTTCCAGGTGAAAAAAACAAACTTGAAGTTTTCTCCTCTAGTGAGGGAACCCAAAGGGTTTGATTATAAACACAAAGGGTTAAACTACATTACATTATGCTGATACTATGTAAAATCTAGCAAAATAATAACAACTCAAGCCTTCACCTATTTGTACACAGTCAGATAGTACAACAGCGAAGAGTTTATGGTCACAGCGTCTTGACTCTTTAAGCAAGTGAAGAAACTGATTTGGCAGCATCCAAGAAAAGCAACTAACCCTGAACTGAAGAGTTAATTCACGACATGACAACAGGTCAACTGAATAATAATGTCCTTGACATAATCAGTTTTCATTTTTAAGTGCAGACACTGACCTAAATGAGTCTATACAGAAACATTCAAAGTTTTCTTTGAATAAACAAACATTTTTGTTTATCTATAAGAGGTGGCATAATTAGACAGAAAACTATGCCAATGACACCTTTTTATATATGTTCCTGAATAAGAAATCTTTAACAGTGAGTGAAATAATCTGAATAGGTAGTATAGTACTAAATTAAATTAATACTGAGAACTCAATGCAGTGAATAGTAAATAGATAAATTTATATTATGCCTATGTATATAACAAGGATTGTAAATTAAATAGAGGGATGCATGGTATTAATCAACATGAGTTAATATACGATTATCTGAATTCAATAACTTTTGGCTTTACCAATCACCGATTTTTCCCTTTTACATATTTATCAAATAAGCATTGTTTTACTTTAGATTGTTCACTGTAAAACCAGTAGGAAAGTAAGGGGAACTCTAGAAAAAGGAAGATGTTTAACCACTAGCAACAGATACAAAATACCACTCGAACACTCATATTCAAGACAACTGATAGAATATCCATTTCCCCCACCCACATTAAAAGCAACAAGATATTTCTAAGGAATAGTTAAAATATTAGCAAATTATAAGCTAGCGAATGCTGTTGTTTGTACTATATGCAAGTATATCACGTCTTGTTAAAAAAAAAAATAAATAAAAAAATTCTTAAATTCTTACCACAGCTTTGGCTGAACTTTCCTGCAAATCCCACAATAATATGTTATTATCAGCCAGGGAAATAACTTTTTTACCGTCTCCCATTGGTTCCCACATAACACTGTAAAACAAAGAGAAAACAAAAAAAAAACAACAACACACCCTAATATTAAAACCAATCAGAATTTGCACTAGAAAGCCATTTTAATGCTGTGGATCTAATCTACTCCAAAGTATATTAAAACATTAAACAATGTTTCCTCAGCTGAAATATGACCCATATTTTAAGTGCAAAATCTGTTATTAACTAGCAATCTAGCAATTTTTACACATACTAGATGAACATTACTGCAGCACCCGTTACTTAAAAGCTATGATACCAAACTTACACTTGCTTATCAAATCTCTTAGTCAATGCTAACGTACATATCCTTTCCCTTTTGAGTACCCTCTGACATCCTGTCCAAATCCATCAGAAAAAAAGTAATGCTACCCAGCTTCCCTAGATGGTGTAATGGTAGAAAGACTGCTTCTTGAAATCCTTACACTACTTGTTGTCCATTCTGCATATTGAATCAGTAACCATGCAAAACAAATAGAGATTATGTCATTGTAGGGGGCTGGAATTAGATGATCTTCAGGTCCTTTCCAATCCTAACTATTCTATGATTCTATGATCGTAGCAATCATTCTGCATACATACGCAGCAAAAAAATGTAAGACCTTGACATACATTCACTTTCAAGTGCTTTATCTTGAAACCTCAAAGTTCTTCACATGTAATGTTGTGCATTCTTTTTGAAGATGCACCAAAAATTGTAAGCCTCAGAGCTTTGCTACAACCCTCTTCCAGTTCAGCAGCTGTCATCATGACTCAATCAACATGCATTTTACCTGTGATTCACCAGTTTCGTGCTATACATGAAGGAATGCAAGAAAGAAGTCCTCATCTCTAGTTCTGCCTTTGAGAAGCAGCATATTCAAGCCAGTCACTATGGGCAGCACAGCAAAATATATGCACTACAATGCTAATAAATTCACTGAACAGTAAGGTTAAAAGAAGAATACTTGTCATTTGATGAGAATACGCTACACTTCTAAAAGTTGTGCAACCTCCTAATCATCTTACAGAGTGACGCGACATAGCTGAGGGCAGAGATCACAACTTTAGTATCAATAGCTACATGGAGAAACTTCTTACCATCTCCAGACGAAAACTTAAGCCATTCAAAGACATTTGACATGCTGTTGTCATCCTCAGTACACATATGAAGTACTACTCCTTAAAGTTTGTCAAGAGTCTGTCACTAGATATAAATTCTCCAATTTGTTTAGCATTTTGCATGAATCAATTCAGTATCTGGACTGAAGAGATGAAAGTTGCATGAGTAGATGCAGCCTTGGGCAACTGAATCCAACATTAGGCAGCTGCTAGCTACTTTCCTAACTTTGTGCTGCACACTGTGTCTGCTCCTGTTTTACCCCAAATTTTGCACTACTTCTACCCTCCCCTAGGACAGGTTCTTCTGTGAAGTTTAATTGCTTTTTGACTTGCAGTTTCAGTAAAACAAGCATGAGATACACAGGCAGAAGACTGCACCTGTTTTCTGTCACAGAGAAGCCAGAGTATGCAGAGAAAATGGAACTATGCTAAAAAAATTAAAACCAAGTAGACGAAAAAGCTTGCACTATAACTAAAAGAGTGTGTTGGCTGACCCCTCACCCACAGAACTTTTCCCTAATATAACAGAGCAGATCAAAGAAAGGATTAGCTTCTGCACCTCTCTTCTGCTGGAACCATGACCTGCATCTTTATGTTGTCAATCCATGGAAATAAACTACTTATAAAAGTTCATTTGTAACAAGCTCTCCTGAATTAGGACAAAATAATTTCACTTAGCCCATTAAGCTACCACCATGTTTTTAAATGTGTTTTAACAAGGACATGGCACTAGAATGATTTTATGATTTGCTTTAAATTGGGCTGGTTCGTCTGTAGTATTTCCCATCTTCTTTTTAGAAGTGTTTCTTGCTAAAGTTGTATGGTACAACTTGGAGAAAAAAAAACATGCCTTATAAGCAACCGAAAGTGAGTGGTGAGTGTTGATAATAAAAATGACAAAGCAGTTTCAATTAAACATTCAACCATCATTTTGTCCATAATAATAAGCAACCAGCTGGCCCTGGCATGCATATTCCAGAATTTCACATAATTCTGCTGCATAGATACCTCAACTAGATCCTTCAAAGACATGAAAACATTTTGTGAATGCATGTAACAGGATAAAAAAAATTAACGTATTATAACCTGTATGTGATTACAGCTAACTTTCCACAATCCAGTTTTCCAAAGCAAAATTAAAATACTTCTGGATCATCACACAACTGAATGGGTAACTAAGAAATCTTCAATTTGATTTATTTAAGTCCATCATTTTTCTCACATGTTGCTGACAGTATAACTAGCATTTGGTGTTGATTTATGAGATAGATTTTTAAGTACAGATAACGAAATCTGGTTTGACCAATAAACTCTTAAGAGTTCTTCCAGTCGGAGTTCAATATTCTTTATGCCTGTTGATGTATTTTCACCTTTTCTCCGCTGATCACTGAACTTCCAGTTGTAAAACCTAGGTTGGAAGCACTTTCTTTGATGTTTTCAAAGATAGGAAGCAATTTCACATCTTTAAGTGTCACTGAGCTTCAAGGTAAAGAATTATTATAGCTGAATACAGTGTGCTAATTAGAGCCAATTATAACCCAGCTGACACAGGTTGGAAGAAAAAGGTCTTTCCACATTCCCTCTGTCCTTCCCAGATGCTCATTTTTCTTCTATTTAATTTGTCTTTTATGAAAGTTCATTGTTTTACAGGTGTGGCTGATCATTCACATTTCATCTAAGTGACGGTTATTCAAATCACTCTTCGTAACACGTTCTGCTGTATTTTGTAGTCATGACTGAATGTTAAACGTGAAATATCATGAAGAAGGGGAAAAGAACTCCACAGAACACCGGTGAGTGAAAAAAACCCTGGCTTTCAAAGCAAGATACAAATTTTAGAAAACCTGCAGTTTTCATTTAGAACAATTTTCAACACAGCAGAGGTAGTGATAATCTTTAAAAAAGGAAAACAGATAAACCAGGCAATACCATTTTCCTGAGTATGCCAACAGTTGCTGATGCTTACAGTTTGTGGAAATGGACAAGATAATTGTCAAATTCACAGCTGCCACTCAGAAACTGAGTGTCAACTTCACGGCTGCTCTTTAGATAATCTACAAACAGCAGACAAGCAATTATATTTGTTGCCTTTTACCCTATTTTGTTATCATCTGACTCCTGATGCTTCAAATTAGCTTCTAGCTAGTAGTTCTTGGTAAAAAAAATTAAACCCTACAAAGGATGTTTTCCTAGTAAAGAAAAAAGAGAATTTAAAATATTCATTCAAATGTGCACATGAAAGGACTCTATTATCTGTGTTTTATGCAAAAAGATAGTTAACACCATCATTTATTAACATACAGAGCCTTTAGAAATGAACAATTCAAAGGTCTCTATTATAGACTAAAGAAGAATAAAGCAACATGCAAACACTTTCATAGATGTGAACTGCAGTCAGCCAGAATGTGTTGGACAAAGCAAGCATTAACTACTGCTTAACCATAATTACAGAAGTGACAGTCATTTATTTCTAGAAGTGCAAAAATTCAGCTAGACTGAAAACCCTCAGGCACTGCAAAATGGAAAATACACCCAAACAGTCGGTAACCCAGCAGAACATCCTGCTGCCTCAATGCAGCCCATTAGAAAAATTCACCTGTTATGGACTCAAATATTCTGCCTTCTTTGCAGCACAATGATTCAAATGTAAAGGCAATTCTGCTAATCACATGATTAGATCATGTATTCTAAGAGGAAGGAGATTAGACTGAGGACAACCTGGAACACACAATTCTTACCCTTGCCACAAATACTCTACAGAGGCATCACATTTCTAAATGAAAACAGTTTGGGTTATTATGCAGTGTATTTAAGTCCATGCTGCAGGAAGCACTTCTAAGTTATGCTTTGTCTCAAAATTCTCAGCCACTGAGATATAATTTGGTGTCCAACTCCCCAAGACACAGCAAAACAAAAAAAAAACCCTGCAGCTTTCTAAAAAAACCTGAAAGACAAGGAGAATTTACTTTAGGTGCCTTTTTAGTTAAGAGGCTGCTAAGAAGAATGAGAAACGAAGTTACAGATTATTTTGGACAAGAAGTCCGAAGATAGAGGGCTTTATTCTGACTTTTAAATTATTTTTACATTCAGAAATACAAAGAATATCCAACAAGGAGGCAACTCAGAGAAAGCACTTGCCTCTAAAATGTTTGTAATTTTTTCCCCTAAATTATCACACTACAATCTTAGCAACCCACCAGTCTTTTCGGGAAAAAAAAAAACAAAAACAAAAACAAAAAACAAAAACAAACGCAGAATGCAAAATAATAAAAGAACATCCTTAATATTCGTATTTACTTCACTCAATCTCCTTGCCTGCTGCAGTCGTCATTAAACACAATTATAGTGAGAAAAGGAATTGTGATCCTTGCTTTATGGGCCCAATTAATGTCAGCATTGAAAAGGTATTTATGTACACATAAACATTATATAGACAGCCTGAATCACAGGAGTTCACAATATAACAGAAAGCATGGTAGTGTATTTGTTCCAAGAAAGCAAATATAGGAGTCACAGATTTTAAGTAGGAGCTCCTAAATAGCCGTTTTGTAGAAACAGCTATTAAATTCCTGTTGAGCTATTCATGATTTAAAGTGTTGATCAACAGGTGACCACCTCCATAGTTCATAACAATCTCAGACTTCTGGCTGGCTGGCCATGGCTTTAGATAATAATGCTTAAAACAGCAAAGCAAAATCATGCAAATGTATTATACAGACCCTACATATGAGCTGAACTGAAAAAAACTGTCTTTGGTAACATTTCAAGTCATGAAACATTATAGATGGGAATTAACATCTCTAGTCTGCAATATAACCAAGTTACCTACATTCCGTACATACTTGCAGCACAGTAAGAGTAATTCCTGGTGGACGCAAAGCACAAACAACATATGCAAC